GTTCATCCAGCTCTACACCTTGTTATCTAAGAAGCAGATACTTGATCACATGCCCTGGCCCCTAATATTGTGTGTATCTTTGCCTTTTATAACTTTACGTCAAAGAGATTTTACCTTTAAGGACTCCAGTTTTAAGGCTGCACATCCTCCGACTAGCCAATCTGAAGTGGCTCTGCAGGCAGCACACACACTGAAACCAGCTCAACACACTCAGCTCAGCTGTAATGCTTGTTGTATAAAGTACAATGTGTTTTACTGTTTTAAATAAACTAACCCACACAGTTCATCAACCCCTGAGGAGTGGTTAATTTGTAGACCACAATCATTAACGTGATCCCATCCCAAAATATGGCCGAGATGGGTCTGTTCCTCCAAATTATTGCCATCAGCGCCAACTCTGCAACAGGTGTCTTCCAGCAGCACTTTACTTCTCTGATGTTGGAAAGACATCTAGTCGGCTTCTCAAAATTGTTCTTTTCCAAATATTCTGCCAATAGGTCTCTTTATATAGATATTCAACATCCTCCAAAAAACCTTCCTTTGCTAAATTCTAAGGATTTCTTTTGACAGGATTCACACTCGAGGTCACAGTTGGGCCTCGAGGAGGGCACAAACAACAAAGTTTACCTAGAAATCTGGGGAAATGAACATGAAATCTCCTGGATACATTTTCTTTTCAAAGGAAGAGGGGCAGCTAGTACAATGTCATGTAACTCAGTTGAGCCACGTTTAAAAGATCATCACCAACAAAATGGAATCCCAGCATAATTGCATTCAGCCCTAAATTCCTGGGTTACCTTTCCCCCTAATTATATATTTTCAGCCTTTCTACGTTAACTAGTTGGTCCTCCAGGTCCCTATTAATGGAGATTGTTGTTTTTTTTAGAAGGAAGAACTTGGAGACCAATATGTTAATAAGAATTCAATGAACAGTCATTTTTATAACTTGTTTTACAGCTCGCACTCGTATCACAAATCCCCCCCAGGAACAAAGTGTAATCAAAGGAACGATGGCAGTCCTAACCTGTGGTGTGACCCATGACCCCAATGTTGTAATCAGGTATGATTCTTATCGAAATTTCTCATGGCGCTGAGCCTTGGAACCCCATCCAAGCCTTCTGTCTTATATTTTGCAGAAGCAACCACTACCTATTAATGCTTTGAGTAGAGTGCTATCACAAATCTTCCTTCCTACACTTGAGCTAAGGGTTCACTTGATTAACAGTCCAGGACAATGAACCACTAGTGAATCTTAACAAGAGAAGAATTTGTCTTAACAACAGGATGTTGTTAATTGCATGACAGCAATAGGTGCGAGTTACATTGACATAATCACTAAGACTACCAAGAGACAGGATTGGCACATTAGATCCCATCAGAATCTCAAGCTAGACTCCTTTTTTTCCTTATCCAAGACTCTGTTACTTCATCAGATTGGATGGAGTCTAATGCAGTCTCCAGAACTAACCTTTCAGAACTATTACCTTATCTAACATCTTCATTACAATACTGGACAGCTACACAGTCTCTGTCCATTACTCCTTATGATTATTTGGATCTCTCAAATGCAACACTCTGTTCCCTTCCTGAGGTTTGTGAATTGCATAACATGAAATGGAGCTCAGAAGGATGGAGTATTTTTTTCTTGCAGTTGTGAAATGTTTAGTATGTAGTTGACTCTCCAATTACAACTTAGTTTTAAAGAAAATCTCAGAGCACAAACCAGTTATTTCTTTCTTTAAGAAGAAAGCTTGAAGCTGTAAAATGCTAGTGGTTACTTTTGGGAAAAGATGATTGCTAGATCAGAGTGGCTTTTAGTGTCTATGCTGTGATTGGCTATGCACTGAGCCGCAAGAAAGGCATCAGTGACTACAAAATTTGATGTTGCATGAATATGATTGCTGGAAGGCAGTGACAGATAATGGTGGAAGAGGTTTCCTCACCTCTGTGACTGAACTCATAAACATGCTAAAGCTTGAGTCTACTTGATTCTCATTCTCATTGGGAAAATAATTATAGTGGCAAGGGTAGCTGTTTGCTAGAGAGGAATGAAAGGGATTTTAAAGCTGTATTTAAAGCATTTTTGAATTGATCTTGAGCTGCTTGGTACATTATGTCACAAAAGCAAAAGACACAAAGCAGGTAACAACCAAGAATACAAATAACACAAAAATAATCTGAAATGATTCTGTTGTTAGCTAAAGTCTATTAGAGGAGAACCTAATTTATCCCACTTGAGCCAGTGCAAGTGTTCATCAAGTCTAGTGCTCTCTAATAAATTTGTGGGACCATCTTCAGATACTGGCAAGAGCTTGTGTTGTGTTTCAACTTATAAGGCTAACTTTCTTAATTTCAATGGTCAGCTAAAATCATGCAATCTATTGGAATATTGGCTTTCAGTCATCTGGAGCTGAGCAGGGTAATGCCACTGCGGGTATATGCTCCATTAATTTCCATCAGTGAGCCAGTTAACTGAAATGATTATTTGTGATCTGACCTGTTGATGTTTGGTTAATGGTCACTGTTGAAAACAGGAAACTGTGATGGATAAACAAAAAAGTATGTTATTTTTCCTCCTTTAATGTGTTCCTCCTATGAAATATAGCGCTGTGACATTCTCTACACTTGTTATGCAGACACGTGTGGCAGAAAGATGGGGCTATAATTGATGTGAATGCCATCCCACGTATGAGAGTTGATGAAGCAGGAACATTGTATATCTCTCAGACCTGGTCAGGAGATATTGGATTGTACACCTGCAAAGTGCTATCAGTAGGAGGAAATGACTCTCGCAGTGCTCAGGTCAGAGTCAGGTAAGTGAGGAATTAATGAGATAATTTAGTGTTATATATGTTTCAAAAGGTTTACCTCAAATTCTTCTAAACTCCAGAGAACATTGGCCTAATTCAGTCAGCCTCTCATTAAAGAACAACCCTCTTCTCCCAGTAACCAATCTAGTGAACATTTAATGTACTGCCTCCTATGCAAAAATATTGATCCTTAAATATGGAATACCGAACTGTACGCAGTACCCCAGATACAAGAGCTAGGAGCAGGGATAGGTAATTGAACTACTTGAGCCTGCTCTGTCATTTGAGACAATCATTGCTGATCTTATCTCAGTCTCAACTCCACTTTCCTGCCCACTCTTGTGTAACCCTTCAATCCATTACTAATTAAAATCTATCCATGTCCTCCTTAAATTTACTCAATATCCCAGCATCCACTGCACTCTAAAGTAGAGAATCCCATCGATTCACAACACTTTGCGAGACGTAATTTCTCCTCATCTCTATATGAAATGTGTTATCCCTTATCCTATGATCTCTCATTTTAAATTGCCCCATATGATAAAATAGTAGTTTAAATCCAGACTCATCAAAGCTCTGTACAAGACTTCCTTAGTCTTGTACTCCAAAATTCACTTGCAGTAAAGGCCAACATGTCATTTGCCTTCCTAATTGCTTTCTGTATGCAACCTTCTGAGCTCCTTGTACAAGCACACCCAAGACTCATTGAACAACAGCATTTACCCAGGTTTCATGCCTTAAGTGGCTGATTGGAGTTTGATCTTGCGAGCCTTTTCGGACGTGGGTGTAAATGTCCATCACCCTTGGAGAGTCCACTTCCACCTTTAGTGCATGGAGTTCCAATTTGTAGCCAATGAACTATATAGTTGACAAAAAGGGGCAAAATCAAATGTGGAAGCAAACTATCACAAACATTTTAGAGTCATAGAGTTATACAGCACGGAAACTGACTCTTTGATTCAACTCATCCATGCAAACCAAACATCTCAAATTAATCTAGTCCTATTTGCCAGTATTTGGCTCATATCTCTCTAAACCCTTCCAATTCATACGGCTATCCAGATGTCCTTTGACATGTATATAAAAAGGAAGAGAACAACCACAGTAAATTTTGGTTTCTTGGAAGCAGAGATATGATAAATTATGGGGGATGAGGAAATATTAGATACATTTTGAACAAATATTTTGTCTTTACTTTAGTAAATGCAAGTTGCACATGCTGGTTCTACTTCATGACTTTCCAAGTCAGGATCCTTCCTCACAAATGTATTTGTCATCCTTTACTGCCAGTGATGTTTTCCCACCTTTACCATTTTGTCAGCCTTTTTAAATATTGTGTACTCTTATTTATTTCCCAACCTTAGCCACCATGCAATATTTCTCTGTAATAGCAATTAGATCTAAACTATTTATGTCTACTTGTGTTACTAATTCATTTGTTTTATTGCAGATATCTTGTGCATTCAGATAAAACACAATTCAAATCATCTTTTTTTAACAGCTATTCTCAGCATAGACTTTACTCACGGATGCATAATTACTGCTAAACTCTCTAACTCTTCCAGTACTACTCTGCTTGATTTTACCCACATTACTACACTGAATTTTCTCTTTAATTTATCAATTTCCCTTCACCTTATCCTTTATTTATCTCCTTGGAGAAGTAACAGAAAGAAGAAACAAGTGTAACATTTCATTGTAATGCATATGGATTTCCAATAAGCCTTTGATAATAAACTGCATTGTAGACTCATGACAAATGTCAAGCACATGAAATCAGGAAAGTTATCAGAATTGCTAACAATCTGGCTACAAAATAATAAACAGTGAGTCAGCTTAAGGATAGTTATTCAAACTGACAATAGTTGGAAAGTGGTATTCCACTAGGATCTGTTCTGTAATCACTGTTGTTCATGATACATAAACAATTTGAATTCTGGAATCAAAGACATGACTTAAAAATTTGCAAAACACATCAAATTGCAAGATATAATTAACAGTGAGGAAGACTGTGGCAAAGTAAAAAATATTATTAATAAAATTACATAATGAATATGCAAATGATAAATGAAATTCAATATCAATATTTGAGAGCTGGTCCATTTTGGAAACAAGAAAAAGGTCACATACTTCTAGGAAAACAATTGAAGTAGAATAGAGAAGCAAAGTGTTTCTGCTGTACCAATCATAAATGCTGAAATACAAGTTAAAAAGACACAAAAACAATAAACAATGGTTAATTTCTCAAGAGATAAAAAAAATACAGAAAATGATGCAAATAATATACCAAACCATGGGTTCACCAAACATAACGTACTGTGGCACAGTTCTGATCTCAATATTAAAGGGATGAGGAGGCACTCGTGAAAGTGCAAAACACAATTTAGAGATTGTATTGATCACGAAAGAACAAACAGATTAGGTCTTTTTCTTTAGAGAAAACTGAGGGAGGTCTGTAAGATTCAGAAATGTGACCAGAACAGTGAAGGTATTTCTACTTGAGACCAAAAAGGGGGTGGGGGGATGTAAAAATAAGTCAATCACTAATAAATCCAAAAGGAAATTAAGAAGGAACTTCTTTATACAAAGCGTGGTTAGAGTGTCCAAATAGGTACAGAGTTAAGGTAACAGTAATGATGCATTTAAAGGGTAGCAAGAAAATTATATGAAGGGAGTGAAGAATTAAAAGTGATGCTGACAAGGTTCAACAAAAGACCAATGGATAAAGGCTTGGGTGGATACACACTAGCTGAATTGGGTTAAATAACCAATTTCTAAGCTATATATTCTATGCAAAAGGTGCAACCAAGAATAAAATAAAATCTTTTCACTAACAGTATTTGCCACCAGTTATCATTTATGGAATTAATGCAAAAGGAGAAGTGTTCATCCAGCTTGGTATAAACATGAATATAGCTGTTAACTGAGCATCAATGCAGACTGAGCAACAATCAGAACAGGCTCAATTACTGATTCACTGCCATTAGAACCTAGCAGCATAATCAATTCACTTGCAAAATATTGGGCCAGTGTTTAGTGTGGCTTGGAGACTGAGATACCCTGAGGAAATAAATGTGAAGAGATTTCAAAGGCGGACAAATTGCACTTTGAGTTAGCTTTTTCTTGCTTTACCTTCTTGCTATAGGCAGCTCCCACATGCTCCAGAGAATTTGGCTGCCCAGCTGAGTACCAGTGAAAAGAGAGCCATTTCCCTGACTTGGTCAAAAGCATTTGATGGCAATAGCCCCTTGCTTCACTACATTTTGGAAGTGTCTGAAAACAGTAAGTGATACAGCAACACATTATTCAGAGTGCATAGTTTAAAATGTGATGCATTGTAGATTTTTCATTGGGAAAATTAAAGCTGACCAATAGAAGAAATGCCGTTTGTTTGGTGGTACAGTGTTTGAATATCAATGAAAAAGAGATATGTGGCTGAAGCTGTTGGTTGCGTTCACCAGGAATAATGCAAGAATGCCAAATTACAAGTGATCACAACAGCTTATACTACAGGCAAAAAGGGAGTGGTCAGTTTCTCATGTTCCCAAGAAGTACAGTGCATCAAAGCTACCCTGTGGGGCAATGGCTGAACTGTTACAATCATTGCTCGCTGTGTATCGCACTTAATGGCAAATGGGCCAAAGACCACCACCTTTGGATCTAAAAAGTGCCTGGTCTATATCACATTACCCTGGAAAGGGAGAGTATCCCATAAATTTGAACAACCAGATAAGGAAACTGTTCCACATTGCTACTACAGGATGCTGTTATCAGTCCAAAAAGATGTTTTGCCTTCCTAACAATTGAGCACTGTGATTATGAATTGCACTGCTGATGTGGTTCCAGGTAAGTAGGCCACATGTGCCAATGACTGGCTGCAAATTTAAGAACATTTGACATCTGTTCATAGAACACTCCTTCTCATTGTCACTTATACATCAGTGTTTAACAGAGAACAGTTTATACCAATTCCTTGAAGCCAAAAACTGAGTGTCCTCAAACAAAATGTGTCTGTCTTTTTTGGTACAGATTCCCCTTGGACTGTTCACCTGATGAATGTTAACCCGGAATCGGTGGGCCTGATGGTCAGGGGACTTATTCCAGCCAGGTCTTATCAGTTCCGTATCTGTGCTGTGAATGATGTTGGAAAGGGCCAATATAGCAGAGAGACTGAGAGGTATTCATAGCTTCAAACATGATGCAGTTGCCTTAAAAGATGAATTGTGATATGCCACAAATCTCATTGTAATTATACCTGAATATTACAAGCTCTGTGGTCAAAGTCTAATTGCTAGGATACTGTGCATGTCACACTGACTTAGAATGTACTTTGTTTCTTACTTAGCCATACTGATCTAATTTACAATTTCCAACTTATCTCAGATGGTTTCATTATAGAAATAAATTTCTGTTAAAGGCCTAATCAAATACATTGCAGCTGTTACCAGTTACCAGTTTTCATAATATATTATTCATCAGTGCTAAAGAATTACAATAAATTTTTGAGTCATTACTACAGCATGTTGGGGGGTACAATCCATTTTTATTTTTTGAGGTTTTACCGAAACTGAGTCTCTATCTTCACATTTTTCACAACCAAATGATTGAAATTCTTGCAGGTTGTCACTACCTGAAGAACCACCAAGTGCATCCCCACAAAATGTCATTGCAAGTGGCCGAACCAATCAATCGATCATGATTCAATGGCAGCCACCCCCAGAAAACCATCAGAATGGAGCCTTGAAGGGTTACATTATCAGGTATCTCAGAACAGAGATTTTGCTGTCGGTATTTATGGATGAACCTTAAAGGTGATGACCAGGGCCGTGACTGTATTTTTGAAAATATATTTTTTCCTGTGGTTTCCATTATAAAATGCAGCTCAGAGCTGAGACAAAAAAAGTCTAAAAGATGGAGACTGATGCCAAATTCAGCTTTTTTTTTGTTAAAACGCCATGTGAATTAACAAGTATAATTGTCTGATGTCTTAAAGTATAGACACTTGCTTAGCTTTCGGCTGTACTTTTGAATATTGTTTACAGCTTGTAATTTGCTGGGTTTACTTTTTAACACGTTGAAAATTGTGCTCAATTTTTAAAATTTTTATGACCTCCCTACACAACATTAATAGGTACTTAAAGGCATTTCCAGCTTCAGTATTTTACTTTTCTGCACTGGTATTTTGTTGATGGGCAGAGGTCCAACACTGCTTGGCAAGGCTATCAGATACATCCTGGCAGCCTGTCTGCCAGCAATCTGGCCTCCTCTGTGGTTTCTCATTGAGTTCAGGTTGCAGTTCCAGCAGGAGTCACCGCTAGGACTAGAGAGCTGCTGCCATCTGTTCAGCTCTGGGAGGCAGGGCATGTTCCATCATGCAGATGGAAACCATGACCTCAGAGACTTTACAGACTGCTGCCCACTAACTTTCACCCTTAGTTTCCTGGCGCTGTAGAGATAGGCTCATTCTCAACTTTTCAACAAGGCCACCACCTTCCTGGAAAATTTCGGGCCAAGATTCAGTAGAATATGGTCAGTACGAAAAACTCGCCTCAGATGTTTGCATTTGAAAACAACTGGCTTTTGCAAAAATATCCCTCTATTGCAATCTGACAACACTTTTCTAAGTTATATTTTCTTATTTGCAACACGGTTTGTACATTCTCTGGTATGTATACTGTTCAGAAGTTTCCGAGGGAAAGTGTTTGATTGACTTTCTTCTTCTTATAGATATTGTTTGGCAGGTTTACCAGTGGAGCACCAGTATAAAAATATCAGCAGTCCTGATGTTAATAATTTTTTACTGGAAGACCTCATCATTTGGACCAATTATGAGATCGCTGTTGCATCATATAATGGGGCTGGACTGGGAATTTACAGCCCGACAGTTACTGAATGGACCCTGCAAGGAGGTGGGTACTGAATACTTATTGGAGGAGAAATGAAGTGTGAGAAGGGTACCATGATGTACTGTTGCTTCACTAAAATTATTATTCCCAGTTTGGAAAGTAAAATCACTGGGTCTGGCATCAAAAGGTTTATTCTATCAATGTAGCAAATAGCCTTTTGGTAAATGTAACAATTCAGGACTTGTAATCACTTCTTTGAAAATTGCATATTATGGTCAAAATTTACACACAGTAAAGGATAGGAAATCTTTTATGCACACTTAAAAATTTAATTTTGATCGAAGTTAACTCCAGTTTAACCAGAATTGGTGCTAGCCCTCGAGTACTGTTGGGTCACATCTATCTGCTGTTTTACCCCAAGGATTCATTCATGGACGAGCCACCACCCAGAACTGGTTCACTAAGATCAGCTGCTATGAAGACCAGCATTTCATGGATCTTTCTACATTCCAGTGAATCTGGGGTTCATTTTGGGGCTGCCATCAGTTGAATTAGAATTATAGAATCCTGATGGTATGGAAGCAGGCCCACTGAAGAACATCTCATCCCCCTACCCTATCCTGCAACCCTGCATTTCTCTAGCCTAGACACTATGGGCAATTTAGCATGGTCAGCCCACCTAACCTGCACATCTTTGGACTGTGGGAGGAAACCAGAGCGCCCAGAGGAAACCCACGCAAACACAGGGAAAATGTGTAAATTCCTACTTTGGAGATTAAACCAGTCTGATTCCAGGTTAAAACACAGACAGATTCTAAACAAGGCCCCACACTTAAAATGCATTGTCTGACCTGCGATGTCACCTCTTGTATACATTGATAAAACCTTTAGTTATCTCGGGGCAGTGACTTGAAAGAAATTCTGGGATTTGTATTTTAATCAATCGAAACCTGCATCTCCTTCCTAACTGATTAAAGATTGAACAGGAGGAGTCAGCCAACCATATTCGGTTTATTCAATACATTCACATCAGTTGTATGATCTTTTACTTATAAATTCTCTGTCTTGATGCCTCTCTCACTACGCCTAATGAAGGAGCAAAGCATCGAAAGCTAGTGTTTTCAAATAAACCTGTTGGACTATTACCTGGTGTCATGCGATTTTTGACCTTGTCCAACCCAGTCCAACACTGGCACCTCCACATTAAAGAACTTCTCAGTGAAGATCAGATACAGAAAAAAAATTGGAATTGGTCTACCTTTAAGGTTAATTTCACAAACCTTCTGTTACCCAGAAAATTGCAACACTACTGCTGGCATAGAACAGGTTTCCTACTCTACCTACTTGCATTCATTAATGCCTGGTCAGGTAGAACCATAATGGAGAAAAAAGACATTACACAGCAACAAAGGATCCTTTTGTTTTTGTCCCTTGCATTCAACCGAACTGTAGAAAGTTATTAGAAGTTCCAAATCAAAATTTCAAAGTAAGTGTACAATAGAAACATGACATGTGAAGCACAATAGTCAAAATACACGTATCAGAAATGATTGCAAAACAATTTATTATTCTACATGAGAGATAGTAGGAACTGCAGATGCTGGTGAATCCGAGACAACAAGGTGCAGGGCTGGATGAACACAGCAGGCCAAGCAGCATCATAGGAGCAGAGAGGCTGACGTTTCGGGCCTAGACCCTTCATCAGAAAAGGGGGAGGGGAAGGGGGTTCTGAAATAAATAGGGAGAGAGTGGGAGGCGGATAGAAGATGGATAGAGGAGAGGATAGGTGGAGAGGAAACAAACAGGTCGAAAAGGCGGGGATGGGGCCAGTAAAGGTGAGTGTAGGTGGGGAGTTAGGGAGGGGATAGGTCAGTCCAGGGAGGACGGACAGGTCAAGGGGGCGGGATGAGGTTGGTCGGTAGGAGATGGAGGTGCGGCTTGAGGTGGGAGGAGGGGATAGGTTGCAGGAACAGCAAGTCATATACCGCTTGGGAACCCTGCAGCCCAATGGTATCAATGTGGATTTCACAAGTTTCAAAATCTCCCCTCCCCCTACCGCATCCCAAAACCAGTCCAGCTCGTCCCCGCCTCCCTAACCTGTTCTTTCTCCCACCTATCCCCTCCTCCCACCTCAAGCCGCACCCCCATCTCCTACCGACTAACCTCATCCCGCCCCCTTGACCTGTCCGTCCTCCCTGGACTGACCTATCCCCTCCCTAACTCCCCACCTACACTCACCTTTACTGGCCCCATCCCCGCCTCTTCGACCTGTTTGTTTCCTCTCCACCTATCCTCTCCTCTATCCATCTTCTATCCGCCTCCCACTCTCTCCCTATTTATTTCAGAACCCTCTTCGCCTCCCCCTTTTCTGATGAAGGGTCTAGGCCCGAAACGTCAGCCTCTCTGCTCCTATGATTCTGCTTGGCCTGCTGTGTTCATCCAGCCCTGCACCTTGTTGTCTATTATTCTACATGCCTGTGTTGTCTAAAACTGCCAGTAATTCTCCATTTTTCTCCCTTTACTTGTTGAACCATTTTAAATTTCTGTTGTTCTTCCCAGTTCCTACAGTGCCCCCAGGAAATGTGCATACTGAAGCCATTAATTCCACGACCATTCGATTCACATGGACACCACCCAGTCCTCAGTTTATTAATGGAATTAACCAAGGTTACAAGGTAAAAATCACAATTTCAACATGCCTTAAAAACTGTACACTGTTGATTCGGATTCTGTTCAGTGTTAGATTATACATCTTGTTCTCAACCCTCAAGGAATTAATGGCCAATGTTCCTTGTTGGCTGGATAAAGATTGCAGAAAATAACAAATTAGCAATCTCCATCACCAGCTTTGTCAGTGTTAGCATCAGCATTTAGATTTGTGGCCTGTCCCTGTCAAAATAAATACCTTTGGTGATCGTCTTCATTCAACAGGTAGCATCACCACCTCAGTTATGTTACAATAGTACTCTCATAGTTAAGGCTACTGGTGTCAACACTTTAATGTGTAGAGACTGTAAATGAATAAACCCTGCAGGCTATCTCACTTCCCGTGCTGTGTCCAACATGTTTACCAGATGGAGTTTCAAAGCAAATCAGAAATCAAGTGAGAAATCCCTGAAGTAAACCCATGAAACCAAGGCACCACCACAGAACTCTGAACACTTGGATGCCTTTGTATCAGCTGAGAAAGGGGTAAAGCTTTAAATGAATAAACCCTGCAGGCTATCTCACTTCCCATGCTGTGTCCAACATGTTTTACCAGATGGAGTTTCAAAGCAGATCAGAAATCAAGTGAGAAATCCCTGAAGTCAACCCATGAAATCAAGGCACCACCACCGAACTCTGAACACTTGCATGTCTTTGTATCAGCTGAGAAAGGGGTAAAGCTTTAAAGTCAGAGTCAAGCCATTCATAGAACATAGAACAATACAGCACAGTACAGGCTTTTCGGCCCACAATGTTGTGCCGAACTTTTACCCTAATCTTAAGGTCTATCTAACCTCCACCCCTACCTTATACTATCATCCATATGCCTATCTAATAGCCACTTAAATGCCCCTAATGAGGCTGACTCCACTACCCTCTCCAGCAATGCATTCCACGCCCCAACCACTCTCTGAGTAAAGAACCTACCTCTGATGTCTCCCCTATATCTACCTCCACTCACTTTAAAACTATGCCCCCTCGTAATAGCTACCTCCACCCTAGGAAAAAGTCTCTGGCTGTCTACTTATCTATACCTCTGATCATTTTGTACACCTCTATCAAGGCACCTCTCATCCTTCGCCGTTCTAACGAGAAAAGCCCTAGCTCTCTCAAACTTTCCTCAGGAGAATTCAGCATAACTATTAAGGAATATGATAGATGTCAATGTAAACAGTCAGCCTATGAATCCTTGAACAGTTCCTTCAAAAACAGCAATTGATTTATGTGTTGAATACAAAAGTGAACCACCGACAGGGTATGGCTGGTTGCAATTTTTAAATGCCTTCAGCATCTGACACAAAAGGTGGGTGTGTTTTAAACTCCTGCACTTCTTTGCAACACAGCTCAACTGAAGTCTTGCACATACTTATAAAGTGCCAATAATTAACACATGCATTTCCAGGTGGAAAATTTGAAGCTGACCACTAATGCAAGTGTAGAATGTCATGGCAGAGAAAGGGATATGACTGAAAGCCCAATATCACATTCTTAGCACCAGAAATATTGGATCATCATCTACGCAAGTTCAACATCTATGCTGTGATTTACAGTATGTCCTCAAATGGAAGCATCGAACTCTCTCTGCAAAAATCTGTGGTCGATAGACTTTTTTCTTGAATTAAGGATATTAATGCAATCAGAGCTGAGGCAGATAAAGAGAGTCAGGGAACAGATCAGCCATGATCTCATGGAATGGATGAACAATCTCTAAGTGCTGAATAGTCTACTACAGTTCCTATGTAATCTATCACTACTAGCCAGGAACAGATCTAATTCCCAATGGACTTCTGCAAACAAATTCCAGTAAAACAGTTTCATTCTGATTCACTTTTGGGAGGACATTGTTTCTTATCCTCTGCTGTAACTAAAAAAGAAAACATATGTGTTTCATTACCCAAGCATCCTGTCATCTGCAATGTATTAATCTCTGTATTTGCTGTGATAAAGGAACATGTATGCATAACTCTTTGTCGGTGAAGAATTGTGCCTCTTGCACAGATTACTATCTATTATAATTGAAATGTTCTCCCTGTTTTAGAAAGTGAATCTCAAATTGTACAAAAAAGCAAGAATTTTGGTTTTGACCTGTTCTTTTAACATCTGTTAGTTTACTTATTGTCTGAAGTTTTAAATCAGTAAGTAGATCTTAATTTGTTTTAAAAATGCCTGTTATTTCTTTGCAGAGAGAAAGATAATATTACAACCAGCAAATGATTGAAAATAGTGCTTGTTATAATTTATCAAAGTTAACCTTATGCATAAAAACCCAATCGCAAAGCTTGTCTGAATGAGGCATTCAAGCACAAACGATACTTCCTCATCCATCTTATCAGTTGCTATTTCTAAAGAAACGTTAATTTATACAGTGAGAAAAAAATTGAAATTATCTAAGTTATTTTCTGTTTGCAAAATTTTCCCACTGAGTTCAGCTGCTCTGTTGTTGATCTCTGCTATCTAACTATCTCTACTCTAGCTCCTTGCTTGGGAACGTAATGAGGCAGAAACACTAGCTGTGGTGACACTGACTGCTCAGCCAATGGTTTTTGTCATTATTTTATAATATCCTACCCCTTTCCTGACTTTTATTTGAAATCACTTAACCCTTTATGTGAAATGGTGTTGTCTCCTGATATACAGATGGTATTTTTTTCCCCCGCATGGAGACATACGACATTGGAGGAAAACCTACTTGAGTGAAAAGGTTCAGCATTTCTTCATTTCTCAGTTGTCGAGAAAGCTACAATATCCAGTTCTGGCTAATTGTTTTGAACATGATTACTTTCTAATAGGGGATTAGAAAGTCAGTAACTGGCCAAAAACCATGTAATGAAATTTACAGCAAAAGGTTATTGTTTGTTTAAAAAAATGATCCAGTTTGTGACATTTCAAAATCCCTTGGCAACACAATACAAGGAGTTTTATATTGGACTGGTACTAACACAAATCTAAATAATAATTAACAAGGGGTCAATTTCCTTTAGGCTATTATAGCAATCCTGAACTAAAATGAAAAAGATAGAACATTTATCAGTTCCAAATGTTGTCAACTTGAAAGTTCTTTGGCTCTTTTTCACAGCATTTCAGATACAGACACATTTCAAAAAATACATTTTCCTGCAATTCCTGCTAACTTTAAATTCCTACATCCTTCCTCATAATGACAATTGCCTAGAAAGAAGATTCACATTTTTGTTGCACCCTTTCCCCAGTGAAGGTTATATGTTCCACTGTAAAATACATCTTATAATTGACCTGACTTGTCTCTGTAGCCCACTCAGAGATAGTAAGAACTGCCAATGCTGGAGTCTGAGATAACACAGTGTGGAGCTGGAGGAACACAGCAGGCCAGGCAGCATCAGAGGCGC